CGACCCGTGACTGAAACCCGTGACACAATCCAAACGGTGAGACTTTTCAGCAGTCGCACCGCCAGAGGCAAGCATGGCTACAGCAAGACGCTTTGAGACGGTGGACGCTGCAGTCAGGGTGAAGGCAGTGTGGCAGCCTTGTGGCTCCTCCATCTCTAAAATGAAAAGGGGAACAACACACCGACCAGACCAAAGGCGTAATATTGGAATCATGGCTTGAGTGAATGGCAGACGCAGGATAACCGTACATCTAAATCCTCCTTAGAGCTCGGAAGGTCCTGACAGGTCCTGACTACTGGACCTGGGCTTCCTGAGCAGAGTCCTACTGCAGCACTATAGGCTACTTTGTGCTTCTGCACTTACACCACAAGGACACAGCTGACAGAGGTGCAGGAGCTCCTGAACAGGTGGACTTTTACATCGTTACAACATTTATGAGATCTCCTGACCCAAATGTTGGTCTGGGTGTACAAAGTATCATCATCACTGAGCTGATCCGTGAGAGGGTGACCCAAATGTTTGGTTTTGTCACCGACACTTACCTTCCGGCCACCCGCCAGCCTGCGGCGCATCGTCGCGCTTCTGCGTCTGGTGTGTTCTGGCCGTTAGTCTGACGAACCAGAGCAACACTCTTTTTGTGTTATATTTGCACTTCAGCCCATAATCAGGGCCTGTGTTCAGCAGCTGCTGAGAACGCACGGCTGGCAGAAAGAGTGAAGTCATCAGCATACATGGAATGATTAATCAGGTCATCTTCTTTCTTCTTACTCAACACAGAGCGGTAATTAGATGTTTTTACCTTCGGCTGCCATGTTTGGGCCGGAACGCCCGCCTTCCTCAGAGACGCCAGCTGTTTGTGGCGTCGCTTCCATTTATGTGCGGGCATCAGAGGACGATATCGCCCCCTGCTGCCCGCATCCTTCACGGTGATAACATCGTCCCGTGTGTGATCGACCGTGTGATCTTGTGTCTTTCATCATTGTCCTTATTTTGTCGGCCAGGCCTCTGCTGTAAGGAAGAGTATTACACAGACACTTGGCCTGTGGCAGACCGGTGAGACCGCACTGGCGTCGCTGTTGTTGTTCACAGCACCACAAGATGTAATGAGGTCCTGAGGGGGCTTCCTGGGCAGTGGTTGAGTCACCCGAGTCCAGAGTTTCCACCCATAAAGATCAATAATGGGCTCAAAGCAATTGATCAGGTCTTTGCCAAATAAAAAAGGGAAAAACTCATGATCAGTCACGAACACGGGATGACACGCTGACATGCCACCGACTGACAGGTCAAGGGAAGACACCAGCGACAAGGTCATTGAAGCCGGAGCACCAGACAGCTTTATCTATGCAGCACATTTCCTACACAAAGGCAACTCAGTGTGCTGTACAGCGATGACAGCGGACAAACACACAGATGGAGTCGCGTGTACCAAAACTAGAAGACTAGCATAATATCATAAAACGCCGAGAAGAGAACTAAATGTGTTCAGCCAGGAGTTACCAAGTAAGTGGAAACCAAGCTTGAGCTGAAGGTGTCAGCAGACCAAATCTGGTACAATGAGCTACTTTGTTGAGAACTTGCAGAACTTCAATACTTTGATTTACTAACACTTGGAGTAGTGAGGCAGACCCAAACAGAAGCAGTGAAACAAGTAAAATGTACTACAAAACTACATTGGACTAAAATTAGAGGACTGACAGAAAATTAATTAAACACTGAGTGGTTGACTAGCCAGCCAGGACTTACTAAGTACCGTAAATCCTCTAATACAGGCCCGGCCCTTTATTTACTCAAGTGTCGTATCAACTATTGTAAACAAGATTAACTTCAACTTGAACACTTTATTGTTCAATCAGCTGCTTTGACTTTAATGCAAGAAAGCAGATTATCACTCAACTTTTATTTCTTTGTTAGATTTATTAGGTCTTGTTCTTGCTTCCTGTAGGTGGCAGTATCTGCGGTAAGGCGTTTTTGCATCATTTCCTGTTTCAGTGTTGCACTACGTGTGGCTGTTTGGTGTTTGGGGCTCGCTAAACAGCTAAACAGCGCGGGGCTAACTAGCTCAGAACCACCCGGTAGCGATCCTCCAGTGGAGCCCGAGCAGCCGGGACCTCAGGCCGGCTGGGTGACGGTACGCAGGAAGCATAGAACCCAGCCCGTGGGCCACCACCGACCCGTCCACGTTTCTAATAGATTTTCCCCGCTCAGTGGCACACCCACTGACAAGCCGACTCTGATCATTGGCAGCTCCATAGTCAGAAACGTGGCATTAGAGACTCCAGCAACCATAGTTAAATGTTTACCTGGGGCCAGAGCGGGCGACATTAAATCTTACCTGAAACTGCTGGCTAAGGATAAGCGTAAATACAGTAAGATTGTTATTCACGCTGGCGGTAACGACACCCGGTTACGCCAATCGGAGGTCACTAAAATTAATGTTGCGTCGGTGTGCAAGTTTGCCAAAACAATGTCGGACTCCGTAATTTTCTCTGGCCCCCTGCCTGATCGGACCAGTGACGACATGTTTAGCCGCATGCTGTCCTTCAACCGCTGGCTGTCTAGGTGGTGTCCTGAAAACAACGTGGGCTACTTTGATAATTGGAAAACTTTTTGGGGAAAACCTGGTCTGATGCGGAGAGACGGCATCCATCCCTCTTTGGATGGTGCAGCTCTTCTTTCTAGGAACGTGGCCAGTTTTATTAGTCCTCCATGACTACCCAGGGTCCAGACCAGGAAGCAGAGTCGTAGTTTAACCCACCCCTCTGCAGCTTCTGTACTGTTACCCACCCACTACCCCATAGAGACAGTGTCCTGCCCACGGCCAAAACCACACAGATTATCAGGCTTAATAAAGCAAATCATGGAAATCTCATACATTGTGATTTCTTAGTAAATATTAGGGCTGCACAATATATCAAAACATTATTGTCATCACGATAACAGGACGTGCGATAGGCCCGTCGCAAAGCACGTCAAAAACGGTGATAAATGTCTGGTTCAACATTTCCATCCGTGTCATACATCAGCTTTTAGTAAACCAGCTCTGTTTTTTACGCGGAAGTATTATTTGACCAATCAAATGTAGTCCTTCTGATACGCGGCCAATCAGATGGGTCCGTTCACGTAATACACCCACCCCCTACGTAGACCCTTAGGAAAGGTGGAACGCAACACCCGATCTGAGTTAGCAGCGCCGTTCCCTTGTTCGTCATGCTGGCTCAGAGCAACGAACGCACTTTGTGCTGAGGTTTCTGGAATCAGCGCTGCTTTCAAACGTGAACGTGAGTCCGCTCGGTGTCGTTAATCATTTTTACCGGGCTGACTCCGACACGTGCCGGTGAACCAACCCACCTTCATGTCGCTAGTGTTAGCCCCAGGCTCCGGTTAGCTTCCAGCTAAAAGGCTACAGCACTCTCCTCCCAGTCCCTCCCTGCTAAAGAGGGCCTGGAAAAGTTCCCCCACACATCAAAGTGATTTTTCATTTATGAGCTTTTATAACCTTGTTAATCAGGATAGTTGATTTGCTGCTGCACATAAACTGTCAGTCAGAAGCTCTGCTAGCCGGTTTTCTCGTGCGCGATCTCGGTGCCGCAGACTCGGTTTGGTCTGGTCAATGCCAGGTCTGCGCTGAACAAAACTTTTATTCTTCGTGACTTTTTTATTCAGCATGACTTGGGTTTTCTCTGCATCTGTGAGTCCTGGATCCCGCTTGGTGACTCGAGCGCCCTGCTAGAACTGGTACCACCTCAGATCAATCAAATCAAAGCTTTATTTATAAAGCGCCTTCCGCAACCCTGTCAGGAAGCCCAAGGCGCTGAACATAGTACAGTACAAAGTCAAATAAAGTGAATAAATCAGAAAATAAAAGCAATTCAAATTACAGATTACAAATTACAAAAAAGGTGAAACATTCCAATAGAAGACAAATGTGTAAAACCCGGGCCGGGTAGCGTAGGTTGTTTACATATCTGGGTGGCCTGGTATTTTTCCGGGCCAACCAAGGCTCATTCTCAGCCCTCTTCTCGAGGGGGTCTGCTTCAGGCCGACCAGGGCCAACACACCCACTGCTGACAGCAAATTCACACCTTCCATTAGAGCAAGCCTCTGATTGGTGGGTAGAATCAGCCCACATGGGCTTAAGACAAGGATGTGT